CCTCAGATCTCAGCCTCCTGAGTAGCTAGGATTACAGGCGTGAGCCACCAGCGGGTTTTCTAGCTCATTTTCCCTCCAAGTCATGATCTTCATTATGTGTCTGCTTTTCAAAAATTTGCTGCTTTTTTTTGTTTTTAACCTCTGTCAAGTACATGCTCTTCACTTGGAAGGCTGGTCAAATTGGATCACAAGTTCAAGATCAGCCTGGGTTATATTACGAGACCTGTCCCCAAAATCCAAATCACTTAATCAATCTAGCACCACAGACTGGTTATCTTAGGCCCAGGACGTAGGCTGAGTGGAGGACTGTGTTATCCCATTCCAAATGCATAATTGTCCCAAGAGCCTGACCACAGTGCAGTTGCTTGATTAATTTGCTAGTCTAGGAGACCGGAGATGAGGCTCTGGTTTCGCTTCTGGCATTAACTAATGTATGACCAGCCAAGTCCTCTAACCTTGCTGGGCTTATTCCCTTAAATATTGTGTTCTAACTGAATGTGAACGCACTGGGATGCTCCAGCAGGCAGATCACTGCTAGAATGCACAGAACCCAGTCACCCACAGCGAAAGCAGTCCAACAGCACACAAGCCAGTCCAACTGGCTCCTCTGCCCACAGAACAGCCCTGAATGGACTTGACTCTCTCCTCTAGGAAAGAGGGATTCCAGGATTCCAAGGTGGTCTGGCTGGATTCAGGCCCCATAGTTGGCTCCAAGGCCAGCCTTCTAGTCTAAATAGGTATCATCCAGGTGATGCTAGGAGGGAAGGACTGAGGGTGAACAGACTCCCTCTCACTAAGTCCCTGTACACTTTGCAAGCAGAATGGCATTCAGCAGGAAAGGGGACAGGGTGCCACCTGCTATGGCATCCAGCTGGCATTTCAACTCTGTATTATACAACCAGGAAATGTACCAACGGACCCTATCCCAGTGTGCATAGGAAGGGGGAGGGGAGCTCTTTCTTTGTTCTGAATAGACAAGAGTCCATCCATGAACGCCTCCCCCCCTACCCCCCCACCCCGTCCCCACCATTAGGTCAGGTCCCCAGAGAAAGGAAGGGATCAGATCAGCATAACAGTGAATCACTAACACTTCACACAATGACCCCTACGAGGGAGGGTGGAGAAGCCCGTCTAGCAACTGCCTACACAGACTCTCCGGAGCTGCAAACAAACCAGTTTAGCCCCAATTCCCATTTTGCATATGACTGCACTTCACAAAAACAACATCCCAGGAAGCGTGGGGATCCTCAGCAGTTAACCCTCAAGTTTCCACCCAGGAGGTACTGTAAAAGCTTTCCTTCCCTACCTTCTCCCCCACCCCCGCCCCAAGCAGGAACTCCAAATGTGTACATCGTCCGGAAGACACTTTAAGCCTTAGATCTTGGCGAGCTTTATTTCAGAAAAAAGAAAAAGTGAAACGGCTGCAGGAGTTGAGCACCTAAACCAAAGGGAACTGGCGGGTCACGGGCGACTGTCAAAGTCTCGGGTTTCGCTACCCAAAGAGGAACTTAGGCTGGGGTGGGAGGGGTTGTTGGATCGCAGAGGGACCGAGTGGTTATTGATTAAGCTCCTCATGCCAGGAGGAAGGCCAAACAACTGGGTTAGACTCAGGGTGAGGGCCCTGCGCTAGGCCTGGGGATGGGGTCAGCCTTCCACCGTATCTTTCACTCCCGCACAGGTTCGGGAGAAAGACTTCTCGGCGCACGCGAGCCACAAAATCAACACCCTCCTCCCTCCTCCCCACCCCAGCCATCAAGCACCCGAGCGGATAATGTCACCCCGAACCCCAGCGATAGCACTAACGATCTCCATTCGGATTCACAAAAGAGGGGACGGCGGGGGGCGGGGGAAGCAGAGTCTAGGGGTTCAGAATGGAGCGCCTGGGTGAGCCCTCCAGGGTTCCCAGCTGGTCCCCCCCCCCCTTGGCTCCAGAAGGGATAGGCGTGGTCCCTGCCCCCGATCGCGTCCCGCTCTCCAATTACCTGGCCCGCGCGTCCACCCGCGTCCTGCACCTGTGCCGTCGGTTCGGCCGCTGCCTCCGCCTCCTCCTCCTCCTCGGTGGCGGCCAAAGGGCTACTGAGAGCCTCTCGGGGGTCCCCGCCGCTCCCCGGCGCCGCTTGGCTGCTGCTGTCCACGTTGGCGCCGACTTCTCCCGCCGACGAGGCGGCGCCGAACAGCCCGCGAGCGCCGTCGGCGTCTCCAGCCGCCACGCTGTGCACCAGCCACGCATCCACTCGAGTGCGGGGGATGAAGGGGACCCCCAGGGCGCGCACCTCGCGGAGCAGCTGGCCCTCGAGGGGTGCCCCGGGGTCCGACGCCCAGCCCTTGGGGTGCTGCGGGCCGGTGCGCCCCCACTCTCCCAAGGCGGGGAAGGGGCTGAGCGCGTGTGCCGGGCGGGTCGGGCCGCCCAGCCACAGCAGCTCATCCCTGAGCGGGGCGGGCGGCGGCGGCAGCAGGTAGAGGTCCAGGTCCACGCGGAGCCCAGCCAGGCTCAGCAGGAGGGTGAGGTGCAGGAGGCCGCCGTCCGCCGCCCACCACGGCTTCAGAAGCTTCATCTCCCCCCCGCCGACGCCCCGGCCGGCGCCCGCGGGTTCCGCTCTGCAGCCGCCTCGCTGGCACGTGCGGTTCCCCAAGCCGCTGGCACCTGCCGCGATAGGACAGGGAAGAGAAACAATGGACGAGGGCTGGCAGCGGCCGTAGCGGGCTCCCCGCGAACAGGGCACAAAGGCACTCGCTGGGCAGCCGGGCACAGAGCCTGGCGCGGCCCCGGCTTGGAGAGGCGAAGGAGGAGCCACCTGTACGCCCGGCCCGCCGGACAGCCCCGCCCCGGTTCCGGCCCCGCCCCGCCCCGCGGGTGTCGCTGCGCGCCGCTCGCCGACCCTCGGCTGTCCTGGATCCGCGCCCCAGCAGAGGCTGCGCGGGAGGGGCCCCCGAGTGCCGAACCCCAGGGTGGGGAGGACGCAAAGCTTGCTGGGAATAGAAGTTCTGGACACCCAGTGGCCTCTGGCAGCCCAGTGGCCACGAACCTGGAAACTATTAAGGAGAAAGGCGAGAAAGGGAGGGAAGTGAGAAGGAGAGAGGAGACTGGATGTGTGTCCTGCTAAGGGCTTGTACGTGGCCTGGCCGTGGCCGGGACAGAGGGTAAGCCTCATTATAATAGGCTTAGGAGTCTAACCCCTGGATTCAGATCTAGGGCCACCAGAAGCCAGTTGGGTGACTTTGTATGAGTTTCTTAACCTATGTTTCAGTTTCCTTGCTAGTAAAATGGAAATAATAGCACCTGCCAGATAGAGATACATGAAGTCTGAAATTTTACGTACATTCCACCCAACTATAGAGATCAAACAGTATTACACCCACACCTACAGAGAGAGAGAGAGAGACAGACAGACAGGGACAGACAGACAGGGACAGACAGACTACTTCAGTCTCTTCCTGATGCTGTTCTGAAATTTGCCAGATCTCTTTTCTTAGAATCTAAGTGAGGATAGAACACTAGCTCTACAGTAAGTATTCTTAAAGGCCTCCCTCCCCTGCTTCTTAGGCTGGACCTTGGACAATAGCTGATACTGGCTCAGTGCTTCAATTTCCTTAATGTGAAATGAGACAAATAATAGCCTTAGACCTTTGGTGAGCTCCACATAGTGCTTGCAAACCACCAAACACAGAAATGGATAAGGTAGGGAGTTTTGCTTTATTGCTCATCCTCCAAAGCTTAGCTCAAAGCTACGTCCTTTGAATATTCCCTGTTGAAATTAATCTCGCTCCCATCTGTTCTCCTACAGTGCTTTCTCCATCTGCTAGCATTGTAACACTTGGCCCATTCTACTTTGTATTTTCAGTAGCAGAGGATTAGTCTGATCGGTCTTTTCTGAATTCCAGAGCAAGGAATATGTTTGGTACCTCTCTTACAAACGAAGGTTTTATTAACCCTTCCTTTTTTGGTGGAGAAGGATGGATTGTCCAAGTGAGGATTGGATCGGCAGCAGTTGGGCAAAGAAGCTGAGTAAGACTTTGTTTGTTGCCTGTGTGTGTAAGTGTGCACGCGCACGTGGGCATGACTACTCGAGTTTGAACTCAGGGCCTAGGTGCTGTCATGAGCTTTTGTGCTCAGGGCTGGTGCTCTACCACTGGAGCCATAGCTCCACCTTTGGCTTTTGGATGGTTAATTGGATAGGAGAGTCTTCCTGACTTTCCTGCCTGGGCTGGCTTTGAACCTTAATCCTCAGAAATCAGACTCCTGTGTAGCGAGGATTATAGACGTGAGCCACCAGTGCCTGGTCAGTGTAAGTTTATTTTTTGCTTAATTCACAATCCAAAGAAAAAGGTAGGATAGAGAGAGCCAGTGCTCTTCAGGGTCATTTAGGGACATAGAGGCTTTTATATTGTGACTGTCCTTTAGATTCTCTGAATCCCTTTTAACTTAACGGGTATATGGAGTGGGTGAGGATCAAGCATGGGAGGATCTCATTGGCCAGGCCTGGACATGTTTCCCATGGCTTCCACTTACATTCCACTGGGAAGAAGCTGGCTAAATAACCACAACTAACATCAAGGTGAGCTGCCCAAGACCAAGATTAGAGCATAGGTGCCTTCCTTTGCCAGTTGTGGTGGACTACTGCCCCTTGATTTTATTTTGCATTCCATTCTTTTAAAAACCACTTGTCTGGCACCCTTGAATAGCTTGCCCTTCCACCCTGTGCGTGCGTGCGTGCGTGTGTGTGTGTGTGTGTGTGTGTGTGTGTGTGTGTGTGTGTGTGTGTGATTAATTAGAGATAAGAGTCTTACAGATGTTTCTGCCCAGGCTGGCTTCAAACCAAGAACCTCAGATCTCAGCCTCCTGAGTAACTAGGATTACAGGCGGGAGCCACTGGCACCCAGCTTCACTTCTGTTTTTTTGTTTTGTTTTGTTTTGTTTTGTTTTGGGTTTTTTTTTTGCTGTTTGGTTGGAGATAAGAGAATAACAGACTTTTCTTTGTATGGTGATCATCAGATCTCAGCCTCTCGAATAATTAGGATTACAGGCACAAGGCCACTGGTGCCTGGCTCTAGCCTCTCTTTGAAACTAAAATTAAGTTATCCATCCACAATAAACTAGTATAGAGTAGCTTGTTCAAAGAAAAGTAACATTTACCCTGCTCATGTAGGTTGTTTGGGGAGAATGGTCAAAGCAGGTGGCTCATATCACAGAAAGAGCTTTGGATTTCTGAGCCTGATACTACTTTGGCCCAAACAAGTCATTTTAGAAAGGGCATCTATGCCTCTAGACTTGGGGCATGTTAGATGCATAGAGAGAACAACTGGACAGATATCTACATTCTTCCCTTACCCTCGTGTGTCTGAAAGCCCCAGTGGTAAGTAAGGACTTAGGTTATATTATAACTAAACTCCAGTGTTTTTGGTTAACTGTGTAGCTTTCAGTTCTGAAAGCACCTCCACATAGCTTTGGAAAAGAAAGCAAAAGGTAACATACTTGACTCTGGGTTAACTTTCAGTCTGGAAGAAGAATCTGGAAAGATACTGTAGCTTTGTGTATGTGTGTGTGTGTGTGTGTGTGTGTGTGTGTGTGTGTGTGTGTGTGGTAATACTGAGGATAGAGTTTAGGACCTCAGTCTTGATTCATGCCCCTAGTCCTTTTACTTTTAGTTTGTTTTTCAGATAAGATCTTGAACTTTTGCCTGGGACCAGCCTCAGGCCATGAACCTTCTATCTCGGCTTTTGGAATTACAGGCCTGCACTTCCAGGCTGGGCTATATCTTCCTTTTTTGTTGTCTGCCTGGTGATCTAGCATTCATCTGGCTGTGGGCTCTAAATCCTAATTCACAGTTTGTTGAGAGAAAAGTAGCATGTGAGTAAGTTGGGACTCAGGCAAAGTCACTGATTAGCCACAGAGTAGAAAGTATGAGTACCATCACTGAGAATTAATTAAATACAGTTTGAAAAGGCCCAGTTTATTACAAGAAGAAGGTTTACATTTAAGGACAAGGACCCTGATCATTGGTTTTTTTTTTTTTTTTATTGTGAAAATACTGTACAGAAGGGTGATAATTACATGGGCAAGATAATGAGTACATTTCTTATCAAGCATTGTAGCCTCCTCCTTTGTTTCCCCTTCCCATCCCTTCCCATCCTTCCCTCCCACTGCCCCCTCACCCAATCTTCCCCCCCATCATTATTTGATAGAGTAGATGGGTATTTAGTATTGGAACTGACCATTAAGTTAGCACCTGAATTTTTTCATTTGTTTAATCATCTCCCTCAATCTCATTTATATTTTCAGGTTCAACTATAATGTTCTCTCTGCTAATTCACATCATTAACCAAATCCTTTTCAACTGCCCCTTTGTTTTTGTTAGTTTTCACCAATTCCTAATTCTATCCTTATTTCTCTGGTATCTTCATCTTAGCTTTTGGGCTACCGGACAACAAGAGTGGACCCCCAAAGCTGGTTTGCTCAGCTCACTAGGCCTACTTCGGAGCCCCTGTTGTGATGTATGTTTTGCTATGTTAGTATTCTTGTGAATCTCACTAAATTGGTATTTTAATTATGATTGATGTGACTCTGCTTTGACAGCATTAATTCTATTTTGAGCTATAACGCCATTACAAGCTGTAATTGAGAAGTTGCTGGCTGATAGTCACCTTGATAACTGCATGCTGACATGCAAATAAGATAGCTGGCATCCCAGACTTTGCCCTCTCAAACTGGCATCTTGAAGCTGAGATAATATACCTCTTGGAACTGTAAATGCTGGTGCCTTCAGACTGCCATTAGGGACACATCTTGTGTGACTCTACCTTTTGCAGATATTCACTCTGAAACAATACCTGCTACCTGAGGCTCAGTCTGAATCAATAATTCTTTGCTTCACTTCTGATGGCTTGGTGGCATTTTGGCTTCAGTAGAGTGTCAACTTAAATAACAAAATACCAAGATGTTTGACAGTTTCTTCTGTGAATTCATTGTATTTGGTTTGTTACTAGACTTAAGTGCTTAAGTGACTTCTTTCTTTTACTTGTTTTTGTTCATGCTTTTTTTTTAAGGTAAGCCTTCATTTAATCTCCACTTATCTTTTTTTTAATGTTTTTTATTGTGAAAATACTGTACAGAGGGGTTACAGTTACATGAGCAAGTAATGAGTACATTTCTTATCCAGCATTGTCGGCTCTTTTTTAAGCTATTTATCTTTGTTTCACTTGACTTGTCATTTGGTTAGAGGATAAACAAGCTATTGTTGGAGGAATTATAATTCTTTTTTTGGTGGGGGCAGTACTGGGATTTGAACTTGGGGATTCATTTGGCATTTTTCCACGCAAAGCTGGTATTCTACCACTTGAACCACTCCTCTACTTCCAGCTTTTTGCTGGTCAATCGGGGATAAGAGTCTGGGCCTTATTTGCCTGGGCTAGCTTTGAACTTGGATCCTCAGATCCCAGCTTCCTAAGTAGCTGGGATTACAGGCAGGAGTCATCAGTGCCTAGTAGAATTACTGTTCTTGCAGATAATTTATCACCAGGTGTTAGAGAACTGAGCTATTCTTGACAGTCTAGTGGGACAATTCCCTTTTGATTTCTGCCTGCTTTCTATCTACCTTCTAAAAATTTAGTCACAGTTTTACTTGAATGAATGTCTATGAAATTGTAGTGGGTTGAATGTATCTAAAATTTAATCAGCACAAACCTCAGGATATCATCTTTTTGGGAAATGGGGTCTTAGAAAATATAAAAAAAGTATTATAAAGACAAGATTACAACAGTA